CATCAAACAGCTAGACGCGAGTCGTCCATGGCCGCTGATCCTTGTACACATTATCATGGCACCTGTCCTCTGTTGATTCTGTTCAAGGAAGACTCTGGCAAATAAACGTCGCTTAGTAGAAGGAGCTCAAAAGTAAGGAGTCTCTTTGACGTGTTTATATCTTCATAAATTTTTTGGACTCTCCTTGCTCTCAGCTCGGGACCTTAATTCTCACTTCACTGAGAAAATAGAAGCAACTAGAAGAAAATTCCAACAGGCTTCTACCAAAATATCTACCCACATTCTCTGCTTCCGCACCTCTTCCAGAGATTAAATTTCCATTCTAAGTGTCAGCCCTTCTCGGTGTCTACTAGATCCTGTCCCTCTTGCCTGACCAAAATGTCAGTCCACCACGTCTCCCCTCTGTGTCCTACACCATTCATTTCTCACTGTCTGTTGGATCATTTCTATCAGGATTCAAACATACTATTATTTCTCCCACCTTAAAAAGAAACAAGCACTTATTTTGACTCTGCTTTCCCTACTAACTCCCTTCTCTTGCTTCCCTTGGCAGCAAATTGCCTGGCTTGTCTCTAATTTCTTCCCTCCATTCTGCCTAGAATGCACTCCATCAGGTTTTTGCCCTCACCCCTCCACTGAGACTGTTCTTGACAATGTCGTCAGTAATTTCCATGTTAGTAAATCCAACGGTCTGTTCTCATTGACCATCCTACTTGTCTGTCAGCTCAGCACGTAACAAGGCAGATCATTCACTCCTCCTTAGCACAGTTTCTTTCTACTGGTTTCCAGGATGCTACATTCCCAGTTTTCCTTCTTCCCCACTGGTCCCTCCTTCCTCGTCTCCTTGATTGGTTCTGCTTCGTCTCCTTGAAGACTTAGTGTCGGAGAGTCCCAGGCTCCGACCTTGGCTTCTTCTCTTCCCCATCTACCCTCAATCCCTTAGTGACCTCACCAAGTCCCATGACTACCTTAGCATTTATATGCTGATGGTTCTCAAATGGAGACCTCCAGTGCAAACCTCTCTCCCAAATTCTAGACTCATATAGCCCAACTGCCTCTTCCATATCTTCACTGGGTTGTCTCTAGCCTCTCAAATTTAACAGATTCAAAACTGAACTCCTTACCTTCTCCCCAAGTGTTCTCCACCTGCAGTCTTCTCCAGCTCTTTGAGGGCAACTCCCTCCTTCTATTTGCTCAGGCCAAAAACCCTGGAGTCATCCTTGGCTCTTCTTTCCCGACATCCCCTACACAACCGGTCAGAAGATTGTGCTGGCTTTATCCTTAGAATATATCAAGACTCTGGCCACTTCCCTCTACCTGCGCTGCTTCCAGAATGGCCCCATCCCCATTTTCCTCTCATCTGAATTACTATAATGGCCTCCTAAACAGTCTCCGGGCATCCCCTGTTGCCATCGAGAGTCTTTTGCCACGCAACAGCCAGAGTAATTAATCTGAAACATAAACTCTGCTATTCCTCTGCATGGAGCCCTGTAGTTCTCAGTGCTCCCCTGCAAGACAATTGCCTCAAGGGAGGCCACACGGCAAGTTCTTCAGGCTACGGGAGACCCACTTCCTCAGTTAGAGAGGAAAAGCTCCTTCTACTGGCAAAGTAAGCAGAATTTGAAGCTTCAATTTCTTCAGATATATTAGATCCACCTGTGTGCTCCCACCCCGGTTTTCAGGGCCCACTACTTCCCAGTCAATGCCATAACCTCAATATAAATGATCATAAGAGGATTTGAGTTCAGTTTACTATTTCTGGGTAGCATATTGACTAGGTCACATAGGTTTCAATATGCCGTGTTTTTCTTGTCATTAATTTTTGCCTAGTTTGTAATTGGGTTTGATACCCTTGTTAAACCAAGAGTTGTTAGAAAGAGTGCTTTTAAATTTCTAAATGCATATATATATTTTTTAAAATAGTCTATTCTTGTTAATGCCTGCATTTTTTTTTTGCACTGTTATGTATGGTTTCTTCTTTCTTGAGCATATGAAGATTCTATTTGTGGTCTAATACATGGACATTGTAACTGTTTCCCGTGTGAAAAGCAAATGCGTTCACTACTTTCAGAGCTGGCTAATACATTAATTTGGCTTAGCAAATGCCCTCTAGCCTTCCATATTTTGTGTTGCCTCGATCTGTCAACTTCTGATGAAGGTATGTACATTAAGGTTCATACTTATAAATCTGTAAAAAAAAAAAAAAAAAGGAAAAATACCTGTAATGAGTCCCATCTCATGCAGAGAGAAAATCCACCTCGTTACTGTGGCTGCAAAGCCCCCACTGCCTCTCTCCCTGTCCTTCCCTCCTCTCTGGCCGCTCATGCCATTCTTGCCAGGAGCCTCCTTGTACCTCCTCAAACGTGGCCTTTGCTCTAACCACCCCCCTCTGCTCAGAAAGCTCTTCTCCAGGATACATTTGGCTAATTCCCTCACCTCCTTCAAATCTTTGTTCAAGTCTCACCTCTTCGATGAGAGCTTCCCTCTCACTTTATTTAATGGACCACTGTTCCCCACCCTCGGTTTGCAGTTTCAACCCCCCTTGTCCTGTTCAGTGTTTTTCTTTTTTTCCATAGTGTTTATATCACCCTCTAACATACTATGTGATTTACTTACTTTGTTTATTCTTTGCGGTCTGTCTCCCCTACTTGAAAGTAAATCCTGTGAGAGACAGGTGTTTATCTGTTTTTCCACTAACATATTCCAAAACCCTAGGACTGTGCCTGGCCCATGGTAAAACTTTATAAACATTTGACAAATGAACGACCTTCCCTTAGACCGAGGCTTCCATCTTGCTCAGCTTTTGGGGAATGTTCATTGCATTGTAAGACTTTTCTCAACTCTCTGTTGGGAAAAATAAATATCTACATTAATAATAGCTCTTGGGGAGCCTGGGTGGCTCAGTCGGTTAAGCGTCTGCCTTCAGCTCAGGTCATGATCCCAGGGTCCTAGAATTAAGTCCCGAGTAGGTCTCCCTGCTCAGCTGGAAGTCTGCTTCTCCCTCTGCCCCTCCCCACACTCATTCTCTCTCTCTCTCTCTCTCTCTCTTTCTTTCTCTCAAATAAATAAATAAAATCTTTAAAAAAAAAAAAAAGATGATAGTAAGGCTAAGTCCTGCAGGACAAGTAACAGTAGCCAGATGAGGCCACTAAAGGAAGACCGTTTTATTTTTTTTTTTTTAAAGATTTTATTTTTGGGGAGGCACCTGGGTGGCTCAGTCTGTTAAGCATCTGCCATCGGCTCAGGTCATGATCCCAGGGTCCTGGGACTGAGTCCTGCACTGGGCTCCTTGCTCAGCCCCAAGCATCTTCTCCCTCTCCCTGCTGCTCCCCCTGCTTGTGCTCTCTCTCTCTCTCTCTCTCTGACAAATAAATAATAAATAAAATCTTTAAAGAAGAGGGAGAAAGAATCCCCAGAAAATTTACATACATATATTCTTTCCTCCAGAGTCCAAGGAAGCCCTGACACTTCCTCGTGAATCTCTGGGTACTCGTGGACCCCAGTAAGAGGCTTCACACACATATACACTCACACAGACACGTACATCCACTTGAGATTGAACTTACATGACCTCTCTGATTTTAATCTTGTTTGAAACTTCTTTTAATCAGTTTTGTTTTTTTTTTTTTTTTAACTTTCCCCTACATCTTACCAAGTTGGTTTGGGGTTTTGTTATTGTTGTTGTTTCTGATGATCGAAATCACTTTAGAGTGTTTCAGTTTCACCCAAAGTTTGTGAATGCAGGATAGCCATTTGAAAATCCTGCTGGAAATATGTGTAAATTTTCACTTCAGAGTGAATGGAATGCAAAATGAAGATGTGGAAGTAATTCCTGGGTCCATAAATATTTAATAAGCTTTTGGGTTTAGAGTTGTTAAGTGGCACACTTACAATATACTGTGTTCAAAAATAGAATACACACAATTCTTTGAGCGAAAAATTGTTCAATTTACCAATCTTATTACTTCAACTCAGAATCATGTCTGTCTTATTAGTCTGTTCTTAACTGTAATTGTAAAGAGCATTTCTGGCTATAGTTTCCGAGCAATTGTTTACTATAAAAAGTTTCCAAGTCTGTGTAGGGGCCGTGTCACCGGCCAGCTCCGTCCTGCAGACAAGTGGTTTTGCAACACCTGTGGTGTCTGAGAATGTCCTGTGGCACTTTATAATTCTGAGCTTCCCTGGCTCACTGACAGTCCTATTGAATCAGGATCTTCCAGGTGGAGCCCAGGCATGTCATTTTGAAAAACTTCCAAGATGAGTTTTTCAAGACAAGCGTTGCACAAGCAATGGGAAGCCATGTTCTTTCTTTTCCTTTCCGCTTTTTTGTTGTTTTTATTTTAGATTAATATTTGAGTTATACAAGAGTTCCTAAGTTAGTATAGAGAGTTCCCATATGCCTTTCACCCAGCTTCCCTTAATCTTAACAGTTTATATATCCACGGAACATTTGATCAAACTAGGAAATTAACCTTAATATATTACTATGAATTAAACTACAGACTTTGGGGCGCCTGGGTGGCTCAGTCGGTTAAGCATCTGCCTTCGGCTCAGGTCATGATCCCGGGGTCCTGGGATCGAGCCCCGCATGGGGCTCCCTGCTCGGCGGGGAGCCTGCTTCTCCCTCTCCCTCTCCCCCTGCTTGTGTTCCCTCTCTCGCTGTGTCTCTCTCTGTCAAATAAATAAATAAAATCTTAAAAAAAAATAAACTGCAGTCTTCATTCCAGTTTCACCTTTCTTCCGCTGATGTCCTTCCTCCATCCCGAGGCCAGTCCAGGACACCACACCAGGTTTAATCATCCTGTTCCTAGTCTCCTCTCATCTATGAAAGTTTCTTAGCCTTTCTTGTTTTTTATGACCTTGACACTTTTGAGGAGTACTAGTCAGATATTTTGTGGAATGACCCTCAGTTTCAATCTGTCTGATGTTTTCTCATGATTTGGGGAAGAATTCTTCAGAGGTGACACGCCCCATTCATTGCATTACATGGTGAGGACATGATGTCAAAATTGCATATCACAGCGAACCTCTATATCCGGGGACGGCCTCACAACACCACAGACCAGGACCTTGTGAAGCTGTGTTAGCTATCTGGGAAAATAGTCTCCACAAAGGCAATTTTGGGTAAGACAACAAACAAATGCAAAGGTTATGGTTTTGTCGACTTCGACAGTCCTGCAGCAGCCCAGAAAGCTGTGTCTGCCCTGAAGGCTAGTGGGGTTCAAGCTTAAATGGCAAAGCAACAGGAACAAGACCCTACTAACCTATATATTTCTAATTTGCCACTGTCCATGGATGAGCAAGAACTTGAAAATATGCTCTGACCATTTGGACAAGTTATGTCTACAAGGATACTACATGATTCCAGTGGTACAAGTCATGGTGTTGGCTTTGCTAGGATGCCATCGACAGATAAGTGTGAAGCCGTTATTGGTCATTTTAATGGAAAACTCATTAAGACACCACCTGGAGTTTCTGCTCCTACAGAACATTTATTGTGTAAGTTTGCGGTCTCAGAGGACAGAAGAAGAGGCAGAACCCAAACAAACACATCCCTAATGGAAGACCGTGGCATAGAGAAGGAGAAGCAAGACTTGCTGGAATGACATTTACTTATGACCCAACCACAGCTGCTATACAGAACAGATTTTTTCCTTCACCATCCAGTATTGCTACAAACCGAATGATCACTCAAACTTCTCTTACACCCTATATTGCATCTCCTGTATCTGCCTACCAGGGGCAAAGTCCTTCTTGGATGCAACCTCAACCGTATATCCTACAGCACCCCAGGGCCGTGTTAACTCCCTCGATGAGCACACCATGTCACTATAGCCAGCATCTATGATCAGCCCTCTGGCCCAGCAGATGAGTCATCTGTCACTAGGCAGCACCAGAACATACATGCCTACAACAGCAGCCATGCCAGGAGCTTATTTGCCGCAGTAAACACATGTGCAGACCACGACAGTTCCCGTTGAGGAAGCGAGTGGTCAGCAGCAGGTGGCTGTCGAGACGTCTAATGACCATTCACCATATACCTTTCAACCTAATAAGTAACTGTGAGATGTACAGAAGGGCGTTCTTACAGGAAGAAGGGTGTGAAGGCTGAAAAATCTTGGATTTTTCTGATCAATTGTGCTTTAGGAAATTATTGACAGTTTTGCACAGGTTCTTGAAAATGTTATTTATAATGAAATCAACTAAAACTATTTTTGCTGTAAGTTCTATAAGGTGCATAAAACCCTTAAATTCATCTAGTAGCTGTTCCCCCAAACAAAAAAAAAAAAGTAAAAAAAAAGACTGTTATCAAATGTTACGATGCAAAAAAGAAAAGAAAAAGAAAACTTCAATTTTCTGGGTATTCACAAAGACCATGAAGACTTATCCAAGTACATGACCGGGTTTTTGTGGTTTTTGTCCATTTTGTGTTTAATTTGCGTTTTCTTCCGCTGTATGCAAGGGACTCTGACATTGAAGTAGTCCGACTTTCCCATGGTGTTCCGTGCTTGCCAGTGTGAGTGTCGCTGTATTCAGTGTTGCCCTCCGCGTCTCTCTTCTTAGCTTTTCCATTTTTCTTTCAGCGTAGTGTGAAGTGTCTTCTCCTTTTCTATGAATTCCAGTTTGCCTTAACTCCTTTGATGCTGTAGCTGTTTCAGTACAAGTTAGTTCCAACTAATGATGTAGAATGCTTGGACCAGGTGAGTTGGTCTGTTACTCCTTGTAAAACAGCAACATAGAGCTTTTAAAAGGTAGTCAATAAAAGTTGCTGAGATTTTTGGCTTTAAAAAAAATGCTTATCACTAGTGAGGTCAAGACTGCTCACACTGTTGAGGTGCCGTCTGTCAGGATTCTCCATGAGGTGGAGACAACTTTTCCCCTCTTCTAATGAATTGTCATGTTCCTGAAATAAACTTAGAGTGTTTCAGTTTCACAAGAAACTTGCAAGTCAGGGCAATTCTTTAGGAGAGAGCTGCTAAGTCTAGCCTGCACAGAAGGAATCAAGCTCCACCACCAACCACCCGCACCGCCCCCCACCATCCCAGGACAGGGAAGTAGCGTCTACATATATTATTTGGAACACTTTAAGAAAGATTTGCCTCTTCTCCTTTATTTATTTATTTATTTATTTATTTATTTATTTATTTATTTATTCAATCAGTTATTTATATTAGAACGGAACCAGGTTTTTGTTTTGTTTTTCAAGTTTTAATCCAATTCCAATGTGGCTTTTTTTTTTCCTCAAATCATTCCACCTCTGGCCATTTCAAGCTCTTTCAAGTTGGCTCCTATGTCCTTTTGACATGCTTCCTCTTAAAAAAAAAAAAAAAATGCATTTCCTTTCATTCTGACATCACAAATGCCCCAGGTTCACCTTGGATTTTCCCTGACCCAGGACTGAAATCAAACATTTCTTCAAGGAGGCTTGGTTCTTTTGTTGGAAAATGACATCTGGAAACCAAGATCTAGGTGCTGGGTATGGTTGTTGCTGCTGGAGTTTTACTGCTTCTATGCCCTCTCTAAGGATAGATCAGGGAAATATAAACATGTATACTAACCATATACACACATATTTATAATTATTTCTGTATTTATCTGTCTAAATAATAAACTAAATGTGAGTATGAACTGATGTTTCCAATGCTAATTCCGCACTACAGAGCTTATTCTAGCCTTTCCTGCTTATTTATAACTTCTATCCCTGACAGTGGGAAACCTTCCCATTATCTACAATTTATTTACATATTCATTTAGCCCTTGTGTGCTTATAGAGTTACAAAATTACTAACCCATAACCCTGTGAGAAATGAATTCACCAGCCAGAGCAGAGTGTTTATGTATAGTTCTTTTTGTTTTCAGCCTTACCGTATCTAGTAAAAACATTATTTTCTAAAGTTACTTAAGTCAGCTTCTTTTTTACCCCATCAGTTTGTTTTTGAATAGTATTTTTGCCTTGTGACTTAAGTCACACACGCTCAGTACAGAACATAAGAGCAAGCAAAAAGAAGAAAATATAACTCATCCCAATACCATGGGTCAGCAATAACAAGATAAGCACTACTCATATTTTGTGGTGGTGTGTGTGTGGTCCTTTGTGTTATTTTTACTAAGAGTGAGATTATTCCTTATATTCTGTTGTATGATTGTTCTCCTACCTAATGCTGCAGATCTTTAAAGAACCATAGGTTTGTAAACAGAGGCATCTCCTGATAAGATGCATATTTGGAAAGACCATCCTGGTGACATAAAGAGAATACAGTGGAGGTGAAGGGAAGGAGGGAGATATTGCAATCGGACATATCAGCTAAGCAGATAGAATTATCTGTGATTATATGTGACATATTTAAAAGAATAACAATGGGAAGAGAGGAGAGTAAATGAATTTGAGAGGCATTTCAAGATAGACTTGCCAAGATTTTGGTAGACGATTGGCTACTGGAGTAACGTAGAGGAGGAGGTAAAGAACTCTGACATTTTAAGATGAATAGATCATCAACAGTGATGACATTTACCCATGTCCATATAGACTACAAAGCAAAGGACGGATCTTACAGAGAAGATGATAGTTTTCTTTTTGTACATGTTGAATTTAAGGTGCTTCGGTTCTTCCAGCTGGAGCAGTTCAAGGTCAGCTGGATGTTTGTGTCTGGTGGTCAGATAAGAGGATCAAGCAGGAGGCTCGAACTTGTAGAACTTGTAGAAAAAAAATGATAGACTTCTTGCCAAGAGAGTGGGAGAAATCACTCAGGGTGATTTGTAAAGATGAAGAAGGGAACAACAAATACAATGAGAAATTTAGATACCATTTAGGATTGGGGCAGGGGAAGAGGAATCATTAAAAGGGACATGAGGGGGAAAAGTAGTCCAAGAGCTAAGAAGAGAACCAAAAGCGGGTAGTGTCTAGAAAGTAAAGAGGGGAAGAGTTCAGAAAATGGAGTGGCCAACCATCTTCGTGCTGCAGTCACGAAGATGAAGAGGCTTCCAAGGACTGAAAGAGGTAAGGACATTGAGGTAACACACGTCAACTCTCTTTCCAAGAATGTGAAAGTGAAAAAAACCAGAACCGCAGTGTGGTCTCTTGAGGAGAAGTTAGAGTAGGTGAGAGGCATTGTTTCCTCTCTTTCTCGCCTTACTTAGGACTGGGGAGACTGACAGGCTCAGGGGTTGGAGGTGAGAAGTCTCAGAGGTCTGACTGGGCGAGTTGGGTCTCCTGACATTTAAGTTACCTTTATAGACCTAAGGCTTAGCGAGGAATTATTGCAAAATGTGAAGAGTGGAAATTCTTTGTGTGGGTTAGGTGAGGGCAGAAAATATTGTGAGCCTTCGTGTGTTACACACAGAGAATGCAAGAAGAAATAATAGAGAAGGTCATTTATTTAAAATTTGAGGGAGCTGTTGTCATACACATTTAAAGCAACAGTTAAAAAATCTGGTGTTACATGAAGAAAACCATAATAATACAACTTTGTGCTTTTTATCCATTATATGGTTTTTTAACTCAATCAATCTGTAATGCTCAAGTGGTTCAAGAACAGTAATACAATGTGTTTCCTGAGGGTTTCAGATTTGCAATGACCTTTAGTATGGACGAAACTCCAGCTAACCACATAATACTGTGAGAAACCTCTAAGCTTCAAGAGAAAAATCTACATTCATTCCACACGTGGGAGTAAATGTTTTGGACTCCTCTAAGCAAACAACTTCAACTTATATATTTATGTTAGATGTTATAGAAGAATGTGGTGAAAACATAAACAACACTGAACTGAAAAATGAGCTGTTTATTTATTGAATGGCTCTTTTTAAAAAGTAATGATAATGTGAGTCACAGAAGTTAACTGCTCCCTTTTGTAATACAGCCTGGAATTTCTTTTGAAGTGAACAAAGATACAATTATTTACACGTGAAATAAAAAGGCTTTTTCAATTTTTAAAATTAAGATAAGAACACTGATTTAAGCCAAACTTTGAATACAGATAGAAGTTCTATTCTGCTCGGTACTTAACTACTACACTATACTATACTCACTACGAAGTAAGTATGTTCTGTAGAAGAGCCTTTACTTAGAGGAGTGGGAAATAGAGCATTGAAGTCCCCATCCCACTTCTGTTGCCAAATGGCAAGTCATTTGCCTTCTCTGGATTTTGGTTGGAGATTTGCAGCTTCTTTGATTCCAGTCTCCTATACCAAATGTATAAATCCATTCTTATCTCTGGAAAGGAGAGAGATAAAATCTGATGAGGAAACTAAGGCAAAAAGAAATGCATTGACTTAGTGAAGACAAAGAACAAAGACATCAAATGAACCAGAAGTAAAATAAAAATTCAGTTCATACCAGCAGAGTACCGTGGCGGACAGCGAGGTTCTGGATAGGCTCAAGTACAATCTTTGTTACTTACTAGCAGGAACCCTGGGGTGAGTTACTTAATATCCCCATCCTAAAAATGGGCTAATAGTAGACCTTACTGCTTAGGCTTTTTGTGAGGATTGAAGAAGTTAATACAAGAAAAATATTTACAACAGTGCCTGATACATGTGAAGACTCAAGAAATGTTAGTTGTTCATAGTATTTGCACTAACCTCTTCATATTTAACTGTCAACGGTTTAACGGTTTAAACTTGTTAGTCAAACATGGTAATAGATTGAACCACTGATCAAAAAGCCACCAACCAGGTTTTAAGTGGCCTGAAAATTATACAATTTGGGAGGCCTCTTTAAGAAACAGGGCACAGAATTACAAAGTATGAATGCAGCAGAGCACCCGTCAGAGCCCAGGCTTTTGGGGAGCCTGATGCTCCCCCTGGCCCTCTCCCCTCTGCCATTGGGTAGAATGTAGCATGTTGCCGTGACCTGGAAACTCTCTAGGTACCCCTGTTGTAAAAGAGAACAAATAAAAGGATTCTCCCACAAACTAGCCACAGTGTCGTCCTGACTCCACTGAGAAGTTCTTGGATCCCGTAGGACTCAAGGCTGAGAGACTCACAGAATGTTTGAAGTTGGAAGAGACCAACTCGATGTTTTTCTTATTAAAGCATGCCTTACGTGCAGGCCCAGAGGCCAGCTCCGTAACTGCCGGGTCCTGAGATCCAGCAGGAGCAGATGAGAGCTATAAGGCTGCCAAAAAGCAGGGCCCCAAGCAGCTGCGTGTGGTGCGTGTTCAGAGCCAGCGTTCTGGGACTGTGCCCCGGGAGGGCTCAAGTTACCCAACGCCTGGGTGAAGTTAGCCGTTACTTATTCCAAAAGAACAGAGCTGGGGAAGGAAAAGGGAGAA